AAAAGTCACACTTCGAAACCAAATGAGATTCTCATTTAAAAAATTCATATAGTTTGGAGGACATTTTAATTTCCCATCCATTATTCTAAATAAAGAGAACCCTGGGGCCCTGGGGCCTGTAAGGCTCGGCTGGAGCACTGAGATTTGTATGTAGCTCCTTGCTTTACATCTGCTCTTTACCCCAAGGGGGGAATCGGTCCTGGCAGGTATCCTTTGCTCGAGTTATTTCTAGATGTGTTCAGTCAGCCTGATCCCAACCTTTTAACTCTAAGGTCCATGATTGCCTAGCTTGGTAATACCTTTTGTGAACCTATACCTTGCAAATCCTTTTGTCCCCAGTCTCTAAGGAACAATATCCTGACAGGCAAAGGTCTCTTCTTAGGAGAATCAAACTCTGAGCAGACTATGTTTAATGTGACTTGGACAAAACTCAAGACTGTCCTAAAATGTAGATTTTCCTTAATGTGTCAACTGGGGAAAATGAGCTACGGAACAAGACAAATGCTTTCCCCACACTAGGTAATGACATTCTCTGAGTTACAGCAATTTACTCAAATCCTTAGTATTTTTGTCACATTTGAAAATTGTTGGAAATGATCTAACACAGCAGCAATACAGTCACTCATTTTCTTTTCATTCTACAAGGAAACATTTTTGAGCACCTGGTAACATAAACCACTATGCCAGGCACAAGAAGATAAAATGGGGTTCCTGTCTGCAGAGCTGACGTTCCAGAAAACAAAATTCCTGAGAATGGAGACTGCAGGGGGAGGAAGTGATAGGGATCTAGTCATGGGAAAGGCAAGCTGTATCTTAACTGTGATTTGCTTTCAGAAGATAAACACGCAGGCTGTGTTGCTAATATCCCTCTAGACAGTGGTTCTCAAGGCATGGCCCCTGACTCAGAGTGTCAACATCACCTGCAGACGGACTGCACGATGCCAGTGTTGGGTGTCACCCAAGGCCTAGTGAATGAGAAACACAGGAGGCTTTTGGGCATCAGTTCAGTTTTAACAAACCCTCCCAATGATTTTGAGAAATGCTGTAGTTGGAGCACCACTCTTCTAGAGCTGGTATCAGCAACCTGAGGGCAGATGTGACCCTCCGCATGCTTTTTAGTTATTGAAACAACACAATTTGCTTGTGTATTGTCTACAGTTATAGCAGAGACTATGTGGCTCACAAAGCCGAAATATTTACTCTCCGGCCTTTACAGGAAAAGTTGGCCAAACCCTGGGCTAGTGCACAGTAGAGGCAGGGGTGCCATCTGATCCGACCCACGCCTCCTGGCTGTTGCATCATAGGGGAAATGACGTCACCTCTCTGTGCCCAGTGTTGTCATCCAGGCAATGGTGATAATCAGGTTCCCAGCACTTGGAGTTATCGGGGAGGGGGGGACAGGTTAATAAGAGTTTAAACCTCTGAGGCCAGAGCCTGGCAAGCAGGAAACTCCATGCATGTCAGCTCCACAAAAGACATATTACACGACACTTCACCGAGGATTGCCTGAGCCTCAGACATTTGTGACTTCATCGGTGCAGTCACCACATAGGGTGGATGAATCACTGCACGAGGCTCTGGAGAATGAAAGAGAAGACAATCCAGCCCACTCAGAGTGTGTAGCAGTGTTGATCTTGGTGGACACTGGAAGGTGTGGCCCGATTTTCTGGGACCGAGGTACTTACAGGCCATTTCCTTACCTGCCTGAGGTCCTGACATGCTTCCCTGGGGTGAGTTGGAATGACATCTCCTGAAGGTAGGGAAAGGTGAAATAAATATTATTGCAGCTCTTATGCTGGTGTGATTAAGTAATGGTGTCTCTGCTCTTTGGTTGGGGAAGTTAGGGTAGAAGGAGAGTAAACAGTGGCCCAAATTGTCTTGTGCTACTCTGTGGGGGACTGGGGGACGCTTCCTCGGTTCATATCCCACAGAAGGCTCCTTCCCCTCATGCACAAAGCTGCGAATCTGATCTAGCAGAAAAGGGGTGTGTGGGTGTGTGCCAGAGAGAGTGAGAGGCAGAGTGACCCCCATAATATTAGCAGTCCCAAAGGCAAGAAACTTGGCAACAAACATTTTTCAGATTTTATTACAGATAAGCAAAATATTTTATAGAAATCAACCGGTAAAAGTTGATATTTTAGTGAATCTTGGAGCAAGATGAGCAACTATTTAGGGCATTCTCTGATTACAGAAGATTCTACA